TCATATATCTGATAAGGGATTAATATCCAGAGTATATACATAACTAAAATTTGACAACAACAAAACAACATGATGAAAAACTGGGCAAAGTACTTGAATTGACATTCCTCCAAAGAAGATATATAAATGGCCAACAAGCACATGAGAAGATGCTCAACATCACTAATCATTAGGGAAATGCAAATCAAAACACCCATTAGAATGACTACTATCAAAAGAAACAGAAAATAACAAGTGTTGATGAGACTGTGGAGACATTGGAACTCTCATGCAATGTTACGGGGAATGTAAAACTGTATAGCCACTCTTCAAAAAAAACCAAATGATCTAACAACTCCACTCTGGGCATACACACAAAAGAGCTGAAAACAGGGTCTCAAAGAGATATTTGCACACCCATGGTCATAGCAGCATTATTCACAGTAATTAAAACCTGGAAGAAACTTGAGTGTCCATCGACTGATGAATAGATAAACAAAATGGGGTATACACATGCAGTGGCACACTATCCAGCCTTAAAAAGGAAAGAAATTCCGACATATATTACGATATGAATGAACCTTGAGAATAGTATGCTATTAGAAATAGTCGTCACAAAAATATAAATACTATATTATTCCACTTAAATTAGGTACTTAGCGTAGTTACAATTGTAGAGCCAGAAAGCAGCATGTGGTGGCCAGGGGCTGGGGAGAATAGGAGGATGGGAGCTGTTGTTTAATAGCCTAGAGCTTCCGTTTTCACCAGACAAAAGGCGTTCTGGAGATGGAGGGTGGCGACGATAGCACACTGTGAATGTGTTTAATACCACTGAAGTGTACACCTAAAAGTGGTTAAGATAGTAATTTTATGTTGGTGTATTTTACCACAATAAAAAAATTAAGAGAAAAAATACTGTGAAAAACCATATAAATACAAAGCCATATTATTGTTTATTACCCATTTGTTCTCTTCTAGCTCTGGGCAACAAAGAGACCTAATTAAATTGGCTGGCTACTCTACTTAGATTAATGTATGTTTTTATTTCACAGTCAGGCTTCATTTGCCTCACCAGGACTTCATATTCAGGACTCTTTATATTACATCTCATGGCAAAATCCATAAATTTATGAATCAGTAACATGTTTTTTGGAAACCCCAACCCCTATTGTTCCATTTTTTTGTTAGAACCCTGGTGAGCACAGGGGGAGTTAACGCTCCAGCACTACCACGGTGTAGCCCACAGCTCTGTGACACTGGACCACCTACAGGAACTGTTTAACAGTGCTAGTGGCTGTCCTCATCCCCAGCCTCTTGAATAGTTGAGAAAGGGTTAGAATTTTTTTTCACACATTTCAGAAGGCACATTTACATTTTAAGAGTATGGGTAAATGGATTGAGCAAGGAGAGAAACAGGCATTGTAAGGAGGAAGACTCAAAACATTCTGATTCCAATAGACCAGAGTGGTTCTGGTTGGGTTCCATCCCTGATGAGTCAGCACTGGGGGCATATGTCCTCTGGGAACATAAGGTGCCTCCCGGAATCCTGTTCTTTTTATTCATCCATCAACCTGAGCACGTAAAGGCCTTCTGAAGTTGAAGGATGGATCTGAGAGCACTGCTTTCAGCATCCTTCTTCCCTTTTGGTTTGTTTGTTGACTATCAATAAATACTTCTGGAAATGTAACTCATACCATTCAATACACCTTTGAGAGTGTACAATTCAGTAGTTTTTAGTATATTCACAAGATTGTCTTCCCTTTGTTTTGTTTCCTTTTTTTATTTCCTAGGGAAAGTGGAGAGTCCTCATTCATTGATTCAACACATATTTGTTGCGCACATAAAAAAATAAAATAAAAATCCTTGCCCTCATGGAGCTTGCATCCCTCATAGAAAACAAAAACAGTAAACAACTAGAATAAGCAAACTATCGAGTAGGTCGCAGATGAGAAGTGACATGGGAGAAAGATAGTAGGGAAGGGATAGTGGTGGGGGAGGGGTTACAATTTTAACTTGGGGAGTTAAGGAAAGTCTCAAGAGAAGATAACATTTAAGCAAAGCCTTGAAAGAATGGAGTAAATCATGTTTTTTATCTGGGGGTAGGGCATCCAGGTAGAGTATAAACAGCTAGTGCAGAGGCCATGAGGTGAAAGGTGTGTTCCAGAAACAGCCAGCAGGTCGGTGTGCCTGGAGCTTAATAAGCCATGGAGGAGAGTAGCGGGAAGGAAGAAATAAGGTCAGAGGGGCCAGTGGTGACCAAACCATGTAGGGTCTTGAGCCACCTGTGAAGACTTTGGCTTTTATTCTGAGTAAAGTGAGAAACCTGCGTGGAGTTTTGACCAGAGGAACGCCATGAACTGACTGACTTTGAACAGGCCCGTGCTGGCTGCTCTGTGGACTGTAGAGACAGCCTAGCAGGAGGCTAATTGCAATAATCAAGGAGAGAGTAGGCATGGCCTGCACCGGATGGCAATGGTAAAGATGATGAGAAATGGTCAGATCCTGGGTATATTAAGAATGTAGAGCCAACCGCCTTGGCTGATGGAAAGAAGTGGGGCATGAGAGAAGGCAAAGTCAAGCGTGGCTCAGATGAAAGCTGTGCTGCAGAATGGCAACAGCCAAGCTGGTGGGGCTGGTTCGGTGGGTCCAGAAGGGCAGGTTGACAGGCTGCATTTCCCCCACAGGAAAGTTAAACTTTTAGGCCTGAAAATATGGAAGTTGTTCTAGAGCACCGCCAATTAATAAAGGACCAAATAATTGTATTTGTATCACACTATTTTCAAAATATGACCCAGAACTTTAAGCATCAAATTGCCAAACAGATTGTGTGTAAAATATTTTCTATTTTGAGGCTAAAGACCATTATTTGCCTATTGCCTAACCAGTGGTCAGCTTCCTTAGTTGGGAAATTTAACACATTTCAACTATTGCTGGAAATTAACAAAGTGATCAGTTCTGTTTAGAACTACTCTTGCTGCTGAATTTAACTGTTTGTAATAAAAATCTTTCATATATTAAATAGCTTTATTTAAGTTAATCGCATCAGGTACCTGTATTACTACCTCAGCCATCATCTAATAGTTTATTAAGAAACTACATGGCACTGCATCTAAATATTGGATATAAGCTCGCACTAAACCTAGCTAGTACCAGGTTGTGTTTATCTCTTCCAAATCTCTATTCAGTGATGTCACTTTGGTGGCTTCAAAATCAGCATGGTAGGATTTACACCGCAGAAATAAGACAAACGTTGCAAGTCAGGGCTCCTCCCCCATCCCCCGCTGGCAGGTTTACCAGCATGCCACGGGGCGTGGCAGAGCGTAGGGCTGTGAATGCCTGCTTTAGGCCACACAGCAGTGGCACTGGGGGAAGGGATGTAATGAAAGTCATTTGTCCCAGGAGGGAGGAATGCTCTCTCGCTGATGTTTAGAATTCCTAGCTTATGAAGATCATAAAAATCAGATTGACTTAAAGTCTTTAAATTCTCTGCAGACAATGTTCCTCCTTATTACCTGTGCCCAGGGCACATCCTTCCCACCTGCTCCCACTTCCATTCTAATCCTCCTCACTGCCTGGTCATCATGGGTATGACCTTTGAACTTGCTAACCTTAGTTTTCCTCATCATCCCAGTGAGGATCAAAAATCTACCGCCCTGGCTTACTGTGAGGATTTGAGACAATATAGAGTACACAGTATATGTTCAACTAAAGGTAGTAGGAATAAACCTTAGCAGGTTTCCTTGCAGCCTTAAGAGAAGAGGGAACCCTTCGTAGATCATCAGCATCTTCGTATTCACTGTGCTTCGTATTCTCTGAGCCTCTGTTGATGCTGTTGCCCCACTTGGGCCACATTCCCCCACCCCATCCCCTATTTCTGTTTATTCACACTCTGCTCATCTTTCAAAGTTGACCCAATTGGTACCACCTCTATGAGGCCTTATCTTAGTCCCATGGCTGACATATCTCTCCTTCCTCTAAAATTCCCTGGCCTCTTGGGGGAATCTCTGGCATCTCCCCAAACCTCCCAGGTTAGAATCTGCATTTTAACTAGACTCCCTGGTGATTGGTATGCACATCAAGATTATGGAAGGCTTGTTCTACACCACTGGCTCTCAAACCTGGCTGCACATTGCAATCACCTGGGGAGTGTCTAAAAAGCTTAATGCCTAGCCTCCACACCCAAGAGATTCTGATTCAGTTGGCCAGAGGTGCAGCCTGGGCAGGAGATTGTTTTAAGACTCCCGGATGACACTAATATGCAGCAAAGTTTGGGAACCACTGCTGTGTAAACTCCCCTTATCATCCTGATGGGGGCTGCACACTCTTAATGTTATGATGATATGTGACCATGTATGTTTTGCCACTTCTGTTAAACTACGTCTTTTAAGAGCAAGAATTGTTTTTAATAGCACTTTTATCACATTTTACTTAACAATATCTGGCCATATAATAGGAATTTAATAAATATTTTATTAAATGAATAATGAACAAATTATCTGTAATCTAAAAATGTTCTCTCAATACCGTAAGTGTGGCTTTTGTCCTAATTTGAAGACTGGTTGAACATATTATTGAAATAGGTTATTTCCTCTTTAATTCTAAAATCATATCTCTGAAGAACAGAAAGCTGGTGGCTAGAATGGGTTTTCTAACATTTTTTAGAAATTTTTATTCATCGATTTGAGAGAGAGAGAGATTGACTTGTTGTGCATCTTATTTATGCATTCATTGGTCGATTCTTGTATGTGGCCTGACCTGGGACAAACCCACAACCTTGGAGTATCAGGACGATGCTCTAACCAACTGAGCTACCTGGCCAGGGCTAGAATGGGTTTTCTAAATGAGAATAGACTCTCAGTGGCACTGGCCACTGCCACCTACATGAGCTCTTATGGGAGTTGCAGCTTAAATCCTAAGACTCTGGAGGGCAATGCAACATGAAGCAGCCCCACCCACATTCCATGCACCCAATTCAGAACTCTTGCCTGAAATGTAATGATGTTCTGTTTCTTCCCCTCCAGGGTGCCATTTTGATATTTATGGGTATTGTTGTCCTCACTATGAAGGCATCTGTTATTGAAATGTGCCTTGGTAAGTACTGTTATATGTGTATCTGGATACACTGTTAACATTCTCCTAAGGTCCAAAGAATCCTGCCAAGAAAAGGTTTAAACAGAGTATATAAACAGCACAGAATATCTTTTTATGATAAACCTTTTAGAGGGAAGTTGAAGTGAGAATGTTAAATATGGATCAAATTTGGCATGTATGTGTATATATATTTTTATATACAGCAAGTACACCTATTACATTAGAGTGTTTCTACATATTATATAAACACATATCTGTTTGTGTATTCTTCAGCAACTTGCCAATATTTCACATAGAATATATTTATGGATTCTGAATTTAGACATCTTCTTATTTCTTAATCTCTCAAAAAAAATTGTATCACTGAGAATGGCCTTACTTGTACAATTGGCAACTCATATCTTTAGGGATGAAACCCTCTACATTTATCCATTGTCACCAGAGAATGCAATTTCAGGTAGGCCCTCAAGAACCAGCAGGTCAGCCAGAAGAGGGAAGGGTGCAGATGGGTGAGCAGAAAGCTCGAGGGGAGTCTTCTGTTAATCTTGACCCTGTTGTGCTGGGGCTGGTCACGTGGGTCATTGTGAAACTATTGCCAGGAAAAACTTCCAGACAATCTGTCCTGGTGTGGTAGGGCTGCAATAACAAAATACCCAAACTGGGGGCTTAGAAAAACAGAATTTTACTCTCTCCTGACCTTGAAGGCCAGAAGTACAAAATCGGGGTGTCAGTGAGGTTGGTTTTTTCAGAGCGTAAAGTCTGTTCCAGCTCTCTCCTCTGGTTTCTGGTGTTTGCTGGCAATCTTCGGCATTCTTAGCAACAGCCCAATCTCTGCCATTGTTTCTACATGCCATTCTTTGTGTGTGTGTATTTGCGTCTATGTGTGTGAACCCAAACTTCCCCTTTTTATAATGACACTAGTCAGTCATATTGGATCAGGGACCTAACCTACTTCAGTATGACTGTGTCCTAACTTAACTAATTACTTCTGTAATGGCTCCATTTCCAAATGAGGTCACATTCTGAAGTATTGGGGTGGGGTGGGGATAGCTAGGGCTTCAACATACAAATGGGGGGGACACAATTCAACCCATAATATAGTCAGAATGTTTAGGGTCTGTGCAGAGGGAGTCCACAGGGCAGAGCTGGGGACCAGAAACGTAAGAGGTGACAGAGGCTCTGGCATCTGGAAGGAGCACTGGACTGGAGCCAGAGGGAGGATGTGGGTCTGGTCCTGACTCCACCACCAACTTGCTAAGGAACATCCACCTTGGAAGCACAGGGTCCTTCATTTCCATCCTGCCCTTCTGAGAGGCTGTCTCCCCTCCCTACTAACCTACAGGTTAACAGGTTTCAAGTACAGGGCAGGGCAGGGGAGTTAGGAATAGAAAGTATTTAGCTACTGTAAACCAAACCAAACAAACTCTGAGGCCCTGTCACACTCTGCCAAGTCGCCAGCATCACAGAACCGGGAAAGGAGGCCGGACTGTCCCTTCCGGCGCCAGCCTCTCTCAGCCTTCCTTCCTGCAAAACTCTTTTCCCCTCAGGGTTGCTCATTCAGAAGGCAAGAAATCAAAGCGGGAAAGGGGGCTCCTGGCACAAATTCCCTCTCAACATCCTCCCATGTGCGCCTCCGGGGCATCCCGCTCATTTGTCTGCTTGTCCCCACCCCAGGGCCATTCCCTTACGTCCCCCATCACCCCCCCTCAGTGCTGCGACCGCCTTCCTTGCCCCTCTAACTCACTCTCTACTGCACCTTGATTCATCTCCCTAAAGCCCACTTCTGATCACCACTCACTTGATGTAAACTCCTCGGTGTTTTCCCTTTGTCTTTACGACGGATCTCCCGGGTATGGCTGTTACCATCCCCTCCGGCTCCCCTCCCTCCCACGTGCCCACCCTGACTTCCGAGTTTCTGGGCAGTACTGACTGTCTCATTCCCCTGAGGGCCATGTGATTTCTCACTTCCAAGCCTTTGACGTGCTCTTCCCTTCCCTGGAATGCTTTCTCTCTCCCTCCCAAGCCCCACAAACCCTACTGGTCCTCAGGAAGCTTCCCACTTCCCCCACTCGATTGAGCCACTATCCTATGGGCTTCTTGGGCACCCGTATTGAATCTTATCATAGCCGCCTAGCATTCACTTCGCCATTGTTCTGTCTCCCCTAAAAAGCGACGTCTTGTTCATTGTTGCATTTGCAGTGCTCAGCGCATCCAATGGGCAACCAAGAAATACTACTAAATAAGTTATTCTTCTTAGGGATGCTGGATGTTTAAGGTAACAGAGTCCAATTCTGCCCCTGTTTTGTTTGGGGTGGCAAATTACAATCAGAGACTGAGTTTGTCTTTGCCAGGAATGTATTGAACACGGGTTCACTGAAGGAATTTCACAAGCCAACCGATACAAGATAATGTCTTTTCAATGAGCCAACACAGAAATAACATACTCAAAAGTAATGATGAATTAATTATACTATTTTTCCAGGCAAGGAGAAATGAAAGGAATAAAGTCTGAATTTAAATGAGGTGTATCTTTTTATTGGGTTGGCCAAAAAGTCCATATGGTTTTTTTCTGTAAAAGACATATTTTTCATTTTCACCAATAACTTTATTGATTTGGATATTTTGAGTCTGTTGGCTGTCTCCCATGTTGTATAACATTGATTATTCTCAGTTAATGTCTCAATTTGATCACTGTCAACTTCAACTTGTTTACCTCCCGTGGAACATCATCCAGAGAGAAATATCCAGCACGGAACTTTGCAAACCACTTTGAACACATTTGATCAGTCACAGCACCTTCTCCATATACTGCACAAATCTTTTTTGGCATTTCAGTTTCATTTTTACCTTTCTTGAAATAATAAAGCATAATATGCCAAAAATGTTGTGTATTTTCTTCCATTTCAATATTAAAATGGCTACACAAGAATTCATCAATTTTGATGTTTTTTTAAGTGCATGCTGATATAACATCTGTCACAATACAATCCAACAAAATTATTTTGAATGAAGTTAAAGACAACTAAGTGCTACTACAGCCATCTTACAGAAAAGACCAAAAGGACTTTTCGGCCAGCCCAATATATGAGTAGGCACGCAGGAGAGTCAGCTTAACCAACTGGCAGCTGCCTTAACAGCTGGCAGCGCAAAAACAAAAGTCACCTGTAGTTAGAGCACACTTCTAGGGAATGACAGCACTGGTGCTGGAGGGGCAGGGTGACCTTCCTAGGTCAATGCGTGGCATTCGCCACTGCCTTTGAGGAGTCCTCTTGCTACTACAGCAGCTTATGCACCAAAAGTCTTCCAAGAGTTCTGTAGTTCAGCAAAGTGCCTCCTTGCCCAGACTGAAATTCTGGAATAGTCCTCACAAACTTTCTGTATTTATAGCTTAAATGTCCTCTTGCCATAGTTGCTTATCCACATGTTCTCATGGATAAGCCCCAGCCCCTCAGCATTTGGGCTGCTAACTGCTTGTCAGCAGCAAGAGATGAGATGATGGCATCCTGACACAACTTACTTAATTCTCACATCAAAGCCATTTTACTACTCAAAACAACCTTCTTTTGGTCTTTGCCATAAACAAATGGTTTAAAATAACTTAAGTTATAGACAAGTAGATTTGAAATCATACCAAGTCAATATACAACCCCACCCAGTTTCATTGTGGGGTTTTTTCCCCACACCATACAATTCTCCAACACTAGCTGGGTGTCCTAGAATTCAGCTCAGTTCTAACACTGCCCACCTGGAAACAGAATCAGGTTGCAGGTTAAGGGCTCAGTCTCATTAGATTGGCATCTGCCTTCAGATGCAATCCTAAACCCAGGTTGTTACCAGTGCTTCCCACAACCCCTTTTTGGATTCAGTTAATTTGCTAGAGTGGGTCACAGAACTCAGCAAACCCTTTACTCATTAGATTACCAGTTTATTACAAATAACAGTAAAAGATACAAATCTACAGCCAAATGAAGAGATACTGGGTGAGGTCCCAGGGGAGCGTCAGGCCTCATGGACTTTAGGGCCTGGCTCCGTGGCACACAGAAACACTTCGGTTTCCTAACCTAGATGCTCTCAAACCCCGTCTTTTTCCTTTCTTTTCTTTTCTTTTTTATGAAGACTTCACTAGATAGGCATGATTGATTAACTCATTGACCATTGGTGACTGATTCAACCTCCAGCCCCTCTCCCCTCTCAGGAAATCAAGGGAAAGTTCCAACCCCTATTCATGCTTGTTTCCCCTGGCAACCAGCTCACTCATTTTTAGGGGATATCCAAAAGTCATCTCATTAACATAAACTCAGATGTGGTTGAAAGGGACTTGTTATGAATAACACAACACCCATTTCACCTTTATGACTTGGGAGCAATTTCAAGGACAGAAGACAAAAAAACAAATACTATTTTTAAAAAAGATGCTCCCATTGCTCTTATCACTCAGGAAACTCTGATGTTATTTGGAGCTGTGAGTCAGACTATGGCTAAAACTGGGGCCAGAAGATCAAAATACATATTCATTACGCAACACACAGTCACATAGAGTCATCCAATGATTCCCCCCAAAGCCCCCTAAATTAATTAATATAGACAAGAGCTAGCACATTAGTTTAGATATGTTTACATTTATGATACAGCAGAGTTTTATGCTGCCCGTTGTCATTGGAGCACCAAGTATAATCGACGATTGCACTTACGAGGAACAAGTGGAAGGAAGAGGTAAGTTGTGGCCAGAAAACTTGTCTTCTGCCCCCAAAGAACTGTACCTTTAGCCAATGTATACACCTTTCTTTTATAGAAAAGATCATCCCTTTTCTATAAAATAAAGGGATGATCTTCAAAGCTCCTCCGAGCTTTAATATTCTATTATTTGAAGCACAGTTTAGTGATTTATATGATTGTAGAGAATTGTGTCCTGTCTTTGCTATGAAGTTCTGGTTTATTTGATGTTAGATGTTTCATTGAGTACATAATCCTAAACTAAAACATGGGGGAAATTTGAACCTCTTAAAAATGATCTGTTTTTTAAATCAGATTTCAGGAAGGCATTGTGGACACTGTTAAAGAGAACCAGAGCTGGACAGTAGTTAAAGTGGTAAAATCAGATTTGAATCAGGAACTATTGCAATCAGGGAAAAGAGACCCCAGTATAGAATTGGGCTCAATTCTGAATACAACAATGAAAGCGGGGATTTGCAACCAAAGAGGTGGTTGCAGGGGTCAGTGGATGGAAATTCCTAAGAGGAGACATCAAAGGAAGGGGGATTCTTGTTGAAACAACTTGAGAGAATTCTTGCTAAAGGCAGACCAGGGTGATCAGGTATCACAGGGGAAGATTCTCTCTAAACAAGATTCTCGCTAAAACTGGGCAGTGCAGGTGCAACAAGGGTGGACACTGCAGTCCAAGGTCAAAGCATAGTTGAGAAGAGGGCTTAGAGGAGCCTGACTACAGTTAGGTCAACACGACCTCAGTTAGTATCTTTAGGGGCTAAAGGGATCTAACAAGAAGTTTATGGGCTAGAATGAGGCATTTCTTTAAAAGTTCCAGACATATAATACACATTCAGTAAGTACTCACTGATTTGATCATTATACGTTCTGGCACTTCATGTCTTTTCTTGAAAGCAAATGGATTCTGATTATGGCTCATTACTTACAGGAAAACTGGAACACAAGTTCCTATTAACTACATCAATGGTTTTAGAAAGCACTTTCTGTTATTGTAAGTCTATATGATTTCAATATGAACAATTTAAAACAACAGTTATGTTGGCTTTTTCTAATTGTAAAAGAAACATATCCTAAATAAAATATAAAATACATATGAGAAATATACTATAAAATGGGAAAATATAGAAATATAAAATAGAAATTAGAAATTACAATTTCATCCTTACTAGCATTTGTTATACTTGTTCCAGTTATTTCTCCTCATATATATTCTTATTTTGTCAGAATCATCCTTAAGGTTAGAGCTGAGCATGTCCCAGGTCATTTAATCTTCGACATTTCATTTGTTTAAATGCTTAGGATTCCCATATTGTCAGAACATTTCCAATATCTCATTATTTCTGATTGCTACTAGAATAATGCTGTAATGAACATCTTTTACATAAATCTTTGTCTACATCTCTGATTATAACTTAGGCTACATTCCTAGGGGTATATATTCTAGAAAAAAGAATATAAATGTCTTTAATGCCATTGATATATATTAACAAAGGTTTTCCAGAATGACTCTGCCTTTTCAGACTCTAGCAACAGTGACTAAAATGCCCTAACCCCAAACCCATGCCAGGATTAAGTCTAATCATGTGTTTAATCAGTATTTACTGCCGTGATACAAGGAAACATCCTATCACTTTGTTTTAGTTTGCATTTATAATCATTAATGAGACTGAGCATTGTTTCAAGCTAATTCATTTGTAGTTTTTCAATATATAAATTTAAATTGAGTTTGAAAACAATCACACCTCCACTATGATAACTGTACTGATGGCCACACTAGAGAGGAAGAGAGGGAGGTAGAGGGAAGTGTTTCACTGGAAAAATAATTTCAATATTTAGTTTGTTTTGAAATTTCTAGCACTACTAAGGAAAGGTAAGGACTTTTCATGCTATTCAAAACTGAAACATTTAATTGGTGAAAATTGGAAGGATCACTGCAGAGTTGCTAAGTCACGATAGCCTTGGAACTCTGGCGTCTAGACATCATTTCCGCAAGTCTTCTAGACACTAATGCCCTCAGCGTCCAGACGACTGCCTGCTCCTCCAGGAGGGACTGGCTTGCACACCTGTATTTGCTTTGTACTTTGAAGTGAGCATCAGCCATCTCAGCACTCTGATTGGCTTCCTAAGAAAAGGAACACAAGACGAATTTTTCTCTCACCCAAGTTCAACACACAATTCATCATTTTCCATGTACCAAGAGAAGCCTTGCTGATGAGGAATGAAGACTTGCTCCAGGGCACAAGCACATTTGCAGCCTTATTGACCAGGCCTCACCTTGAGGAGTAATTTCTGGGGAGCTTTAATTAACAAGTATCAAAGATGAGGGGATGTCTGTGTACCATTAAAAATCACGACTTTATTAACCACAGCTATAATGTAAAACTGAACCCAGCTACACATGTTTTCAGCCTGGAGGGTCTTGGGTGAGCAAATGTGAGTGATGGGTGGTCTTGCTGAAATATTTATAGTCCTAATGATACCGAGGCTTATAAACCACTTGCCACAGACACACAGGCCCAAGACAGGACTTGGTTTTCCACTAAAATGGATACCCAAATGTATTTCCATTTTACTTACTCCATCTGCTTACCTTGTGCCATTTTCTTTCTATATAATATTTATTTAGTACTTGTTTTTAAAAATAGTCAAGGATCCTAGTTATTTATTTTTGTCTATAAAAATGAAAATATGGTCTTTGCAATGTTAAATGACACAGAGGCCACTATAAAAATGAGACCTCCTAAACATTAACACACACACCCAAACCCCAGAAGTAAATAACACCTAAAAGAGTCTGCCTTCATTCCACTTGGCTAGACTTCGGGTTCTCACTGAGTCTGCTCTTACAGGACCTGGCATGTCAACTGCTCCGTCCTCAACTGATGCTAGTAGTCAAAACTGGGGGTGATTCAGAGGCTGCATCACTGGCACAGATCAGCTAGAGAATCATAAGATAAACAGAAAGTTTTCATAACAAACACTTGGTGACATTGCCACTTTTTACTTTAATGATAGTTTCTAATTCAAGAATTTCTAAGTCCATTTATGCCTAAATGGAGCCTCTGTGTTCTGTTAAAAAACAAACACATAAACTAAGAAGGAAAATGCCTATTTTGATTACTCTATTGCCTCTTGTTCATGCCCAGAGTCCCAGCCCTATCTAGAAAGTGGGTTTCTCAGAAAAGTGGCTAAAACAGAGGTACGTTAAGGCAGTACCACCTGTGGGTGGGTGAGGAGAAAGACTGTCTGGAGAGGAAAGAAGAAGAGAGACTTGACTGGACTAGCCCTTTGAAAAGAAAAACATTGCTTTCCTGTCTACCGGTGGAATTAGTATAGGTACAGACCAGTGAGTGTTTTGCCAATAAAAAAGTTTCACAATATAAATAAAAAATTTAAGCAGACATAGCTTTCAGAAAAGAAATCCTATTTAGAGATTTATTTTAAGGAAATGATCATTGATCAGCACAAAGATGGAGCTATTTATGTTAAATTGGAAACTGGCTAAATTACAATATATGCATATAATACACATATTTACAGGCAATTAAAATTATTCTAAGAGTAACATTTAATGACAAAAAAAGTCTGTGTATACCCTTAAGTAGAAGTAAGTTCTAAAACACTATAAACAGTATAAGCATGATTATTTGTTTAAAAGTACCAACAGAAGTACATATATACATATAGAAAAAAACTGAAAATTTGCCTTTGTGTTCATCTGTATTATTTTTGTACTGCTTTTTGTGTTTTTTTACATTTTTGTACAAGAAACAGATGCTATTTTGGTAATAAAAAATGTCATTGCTATCTTTTTAAAACATAAGGCTTAAATTGGTAATGTGACTTTAAACTAAAAACAATAGAGAGGTCCCTCTCTTCCTTTATTGTTACACTTCCCAAGGAGGAAGCTCTGCTATCTGCAGTCGGCGTTTTTGGGGTGCAGAACCCGGTGCTGCTGGATGGACCACCTGAGGACACTCAGGTCACCTTTAGTCACCTTTCTCCGGGTCTTCCCTTCCAGGACAGCTCTTCTCTGGGGCTTCTGACACATCCCCGCCACTTGCCCTTCCTTCTGTTGCATTCACATGCACATGCACACATGGCAGGCACATGAACATGCCAATTTCTAGCCATTTGGAAATTCAGTGTGACACAGAGGAAAGACCACAAGAAGGGCTTGGGTCTCCCCTGCCTCTATCTTTCATTCCTGGGACCACGCAACTCACGTTCCCTCCCTTGCAAAACGGAGATGGTAGGATTGGTGTGTTGAAATTTAAAGAGAGAAAAGTAAAGGATGGGCATCAAAACATATTTCTGAAAGAACATTCTCAACAGAGGCTAAGTATACAAAAAATACATATCTTATTTCCTAACCTTACTATAAAATTAGTTTCACCATAAGAAAACCTCAATATGTGATCAATGCAAATATCAGAGTCAGAAGAAAGTGTACATGTGAAATAATATTGATTAGTTATTTTGTATTTTCTTCATATAGTTTTGCTGGTGACTGGAATACATTCAAACAAAGAAGTGACAAAGAAGGCTAAAAGGCCTAAATTCAGTAAGTAAAACTGTAATTCCTCACTGACATAAGGCTTGTGTTTCCCATGGGGAGAGCTGTTACACTTGTTCTAGATAATTTGGAAGGTTGTTTTGGTTTTGTTTTTTTCCCCTTATCTCAATTACTCTGCACTCAGACTAAATAGTTATGATTCTTATTTATCACCTAGCCCATTCCAAAAAGCATTTGAGATAGGAGTCCTGAGTTTAGGGTGAAAGATATGTGGTTCCACTACACTAGGAAAACTCAAAATACACATACAAAGGGCAACACTATGTCTCTATGGCTAGGCTGTAGTGGGTAGTATTTCCTGCCATTGAAATGACATCTCAGTTCCCCATGCTAGAAAATTCAGCCTGGCTAATGCAAAAGTCCAGCAAACCTGCAACTTTCCAGCGCATCCTGAAGTCAGAAGGTAAATTTCCCAGAAATTCCCATGAGATTTCATATGAAATCCATGGAAAGAGAAAAAATAAATTTCATTCTGTGGTAGTATACCAGTTAAGATTAGATAACAGAAAATCCAAAACAACAGTTCTTTTGATTAAGACAGAAGTTTCTTTCTCCTTTAAACATAGCCAGTCTGGGCTTTTCGGGAAGCTTCACAGTTGTCAGGGACCTAGACTCCTTTGTTTTGTTATTCTGCTTTTCTCCATGTGGCTCCCAACTCACTGTCCACAATGGCTACCCCCAGCTCCATCAATCATGTTCACATTCAGTCAGTGGGAAGGGATGAAAAAGGACACTTGCTCACTCCCTTTAAGAAAAAGAGTTTTTCTCTCAGAGCAGCTGTGACCTCTTAAAGACAAGTCCAGGAAGTCAAATATACCACTTGTACTTAAATGCCATTGGCCATCATTAAGGAAGAATGGGAAATGTCTTGATTTCAAGCATCCACGTTACTAGGAAAGAAGGGAGAATGAGTATTGGAGAATAACTAGCAGGAGAGGACGTAGATGGGAAATTTCACATGCGAATGTTGTGAGCACACTGAGATATCTGGATTCCCATTTATGGGCTTGCTGGAGTCTTGCGTTAAGGTATATGCAGAAAGGACCATAAAAGAAAGGCTTTAGATATAATCAATGTTCTGTGCTCTCCACAACTGGAACGTCTTTACAGGCATGAAATCATTTAGGTGCCCTGATATTAGCAACATTAATAATTTGAAATAAAAGAAAGAGATTTGCTTCACACAGCATTCTTTATTTCTACTGCTACCTCAAACCCTCCATGTGGGATTTCTTGTTGAAGTGAGACCAAAAGGGCAGTCTCCCACAGCCTCCCAGCCTGAAATACTAAAAAGGAATCAGCTGTTTATTTATTCCTGTCAGGACTAAGAGCCAAGAGAATCGGTCCAAGGGCAGATGTGTGTTCAAAACAATGATTGGGTTAATATGGAGACAAATGCACACCCAAGTGTAAATTCCTTTGAGTTGTTTCCAGTATCTTCATTAGCTCATGTACAGAAATCACGAAAGGTTCCATGACTACCATGACAACAGTTTTCAGTGACTATGAACGTCTGCACTAAATGACCCAAGGGCAAACCTCTTTGAGAGATCGCAAATGGATTGAATTTCTGATATTCTAAACTCTACCCTTATTCTCCAAATCTCCCTAGAACATTTGAATCAATAAGTGCAGGAGGCCTTTTTCTCTAATTAGAAACTCTGGCACTATCATTAAACAAAGGAGGGAAAAAGATACAATGAAGGTAATAGGATATTCCCAAAGCACGATGATATCTGATTCTTTACCTCAGGAGTATTTCCCAATTATAGTGTATGGTTTGAGGCCAAAGTAATTTTCATTTTATCTACTCCATGTTGTGAATCTTACATGGGGGTAAGTGACTGATGGCAAGGGAGGCACATCATTCATTCCCTTGACAAGCATGTATTAGCTGCCAGCCATATGACAGGTACTGTATTTAGATGCCAGATACAACAATGCAGGCAGAGTCTTCGCCCTGGCAGAACTCAAAATCTAGGAAGGAAGAGAAACAAGTCCCCAGGCAATTATGATGTTTATGTAAGTGCTAGGACTCAGGAGCTGAAGTTACTCTGAGGATATGGAGACAAAGCTGTGTATCTGGGAAGGCTTCATAGAGAAATTGATACACATACACTGATATCTGAAGACCAAGTAGGAATTGGCCAGGCAATGAGGAGAAAAGAGCATTACAAGCAGAGAGAAAACAGCACACCCAGGTCCTGAAGAGTAGAAAGAACCTTTTAAAGTAGCTAAGTATGGATGAAAGGTAGAGTAGGAGGTCCCCGTGCTGAGATAAGAGACGGAGGGGTGGGCAGACGCCAGACCCTGTAGACCTTTGTTACCATGTCCAGGAATCTGGACTTCATCATGAAGGCAACGGGGAGCACCACAGTGCAGGTTCTTTTGGATGCAGAAATCCAAAGCCAATTTGCTTAAGCAATAAAGGGGATTTGGGCAGGATGTGCGGTAACGTGCAGAACCCAAGGCAGGGATGACAACTCGTACTCACTGGACCTGTCCTCCAGGTGAAAAGATCTCAGGACTCAGCACCTCTGCTCTTCTCTGTGTGTCTGTCTCACTGCCGTCCCCCGCACCCGCCTCTGCGCAGACCGTGTCTCTCAGTCCAAATCCCAAATTCCTGGTGGAGGATAATCTAATTGCATCAGCCTACGTTGGGACCGGGGTTCAGAGAAGAGTAAAGTGGATAGGGTTGTGTTAGGGAAATAAAACAATCCTGGCAATGACAACAAAAACACCCTTAGCACCAACATATAAAGACAGAAGAAAGAGAACACAATATATTAGTGAATAAGCGTTACAGATTTACACCCATGTACAGGTGGGATAAAAGTGTCTGCCAAGAACTTCATAAGAATTCTACCAAGAATTTACTGTACAAATTTATAGAGTAAAGTGGAAAACAGAACAATTATAGCTTTTCTTATCTCCTTGAGAGATAAATACACACTCCTCACAATTGTCTCTAGTGCACTTAGACAACTCTGACTCCTGCCGGTATTTATGGATCATTTTACTCTTATAGTTGACACCTCAAAATATATCTTACAAGGAGCTACTGAAGAGTTTTAAGCAGAAAAGCAAATCATAAAAGCAGGGCTTTAAACAAATGACTCTGGCTTCAATCAGTGGTTCTCAGAGGCCATTCCTGGACCAGCAGCATCAGCATGTCCTAGAACCTTCACCCGCCCACCCCAGACCCCTGAATCCAAAACTATAGGGTGAAGGGAGAGGGCAGCAATCTGTGTTTTAATAAGCTCTCTGAGTGATTCCAATGCCCAGTAAAATTTGAGAACCGGTGGACTAGAGAGAGCGCTAAGGTCAGGGCAGCTTAGAGAAAGGACTGTGAACATTAGCGTGGACAGGTTCTCCTCAGTGTCTGCTGACCTCTCTTCTAGCCAGCCTTCAATTTCACCAGGTGCTAAAAAAGTCAAATTCCATCATTACAGAGGCTTTCTCCTTCCCTGCCCCAGCCCCTGGGTGCCTTGTGCAATCTAGAATATTCAGGGAGGTCCCCTGAGAACATGAAAGCCTGGCTACTTTCTTAGAATACTAATGAGGGAAATACAATAAGAATAAACATAAATTAATGACTTAATAAATTAACCTGTTGTATAGTTCCTGGAAAAGTTTACCTCACTATGCAAAATGAGAGTTTTATCAAGTTTATTATTACAGATGACGTTTCAAGGTTCTCGTTTTCCTGATGTTTTGGAGCCATGGACCCGACCTTACCCAGAGGTATCGCAGTGGCAGACTCAGTCAGCACAAACGTACTTGAATGGTTCCTACTAGACGACCAAAATGTGGCTGCGTTTCTCTTCATTGTTGAAGGCCACAAACAACAATGGAAGGTTTTAGGTGTTCATAACACCCTACTCCTAAGGCAGTCACGATACCTTATAAATTTTAAGAATTAACTTCATTTATGTGTGGTTTACACGCTCAGAAAATGTCCTACTCCAAGTCAGGAGCCTCTCAACACATAATGTAATAAACCCCATCAAATGTTTCCACGTAAATTATGTCAACCAAGGACTCTAGAAAAACCCCTGCCTGGCCGTGGGTCTGTGCTAGAGACGGAAAAACTGTTAGGTTGTAAAATCTCCTCAATAGCTTTTCTACTTGTAAGGAAGTCTTAGAAGAGACTCGGAAGCACTGGTCTTAGTCCAAAGTGGGTTCGGATGAGATAGCATCACCCAGGTGAGAGCCTTAGCGATTGAACTCCAACACATCACTTGCTGTCCATCCTGCAAAGTCTCTGACTTCAGTGAGCATCCAGTCTCGTATTAGATACAATAAATGCATGCAAAGGAAAGCCTTCCTGGACCCAACTCCCACTGCCAACGCACGCGCGTGCGCGCGCGCGCACACACACACACACACACACACACACACACAAACTAGTTTAGATGTCTCCTATGTGTGTGCTATGCTTCCTCTACCATGTACTCACCACACATTACTGTAAGATCTTTTTTTATACAGTCCATCTGCCCAACCAAATCAAAAACACCATGAAGATATGCTTAGTGCTCAGTAGGTATTTGTTGGATGGGTAGACAAAGAACAACAATAAACCATTATAAACTACAATAGGATTCATACTGGTTCCACGAGAGAGCATCCAAGGAAGGACATGAAAAATAAGTAGTATTTTATACAGAGAGGTAGGTGAGAGGGCTCTCTAGGTGGACTAAGTCCAGATATCCTGGGAAGCAAGTGGAAGATGACCTTGGGAAATAGTGAGTGGAGTGGTTTTGTTCGGGGAGTCTTGGGAGATGCAGCTGGAAGATGGGTTCGGACCAGGTAACGCCAGTCTGAGAAGCTTTGTTCTCCATACTTTAGAGGGTGGGGACTCTGAGAGTCTTCTGAGCAGAAAATCTAGATAATGAAGATAACAATCAGCAACATAAACAAAGCTACATTCTGAAATATTTTCATTACATTGAAGTCTGTTGAAACAGTCTTAACCTGGGGTGAAA